GAGCATATTATTGATATCGATCACTACACCCACCACCTTCTCGTTATTGTCGTTGCGCAACAATAATGTATGTATACGTTACACTTAAATGTAAAATTAACTTAAATAAAAGTAAAAAAACACTACAAATTATAATTTTTCACAAATATTATTGTATAATTAATATTTAATTATTGTTCGGGCGCGCAATAAACGCGCCGAACGAATCGCCGAATCCGTTCCGCGAGAACGCGAGATAATTGCGAGTGGCTTCGTTCAGCCCTTTAACTATGAGACGACCGGGGTTTCAGTTAACCGCGGATCGCTTGTTAGGAAGTTGAGTGGAAGGCCCAAAAGACAGCAATTGATTTATAATACATATAAACTTTATTCGATATAACAAAACGAAACTGACGAAACGCTAGATGTACAGAGAAATTAGTGCGAATGCACTCGGCACGCTGTGACTTGTAGTATGCGTAATTTTGAAATGCGATTTACATGACGTGCGCAATGAAAAGCGGTAAAAAACGGTAAACGGTATCGCGGATGCAATTGTCGCGGTGTGACGGAGTTGCAAAACGCGGTCTAACGTCCGATGCCTACAGAGACGCGGTAGGTATATACGGCAGGAAGCGAAGCACCGGGGTCACGACAGCGAGAGGGCTCGCAACGAGACCGAACGTGCTCGACCCCGCGGAATCGTGATCGTCGGTTTGGTAGGCTGGAGTTCGGGGACACCTGAGAGTACTCAGTCGAGACTCGGAGCACCGGACCTCGTTTTATGTGTCGCCCTAGGAAGTTGGATAGGGTAGGCTTCGTCGAAGGCAGCAGAGAGCCGGAGATAAGACGAAGTGTCGGGTGTCGGCTCCTGTCGGAGCGCCGGCTTATATACCGCGGCGCGGCGGGTTCGTTGGAAGGGAGGCCGGCGGTCGGGCGAGCCGCGTGGGGATGCTGACGCGCGCTCGCCTTCGGCGCGGCTCGGCTTTTTCCGGCGGTTCCGAACTTATCGAGCATTTCGCGTGAGAAGCAAACGAAACGTATATTGCAGTACATATAACGGTTTAAGATATAAATTTTACATTAATAAATTGGGGGAATCCCCAACAATTATTATTATGCAAATTTAAATA